CCCCCCTCCCTCACTCCAGCCCCTCCTTGCAGCCCACCCCCTCCCGCCAGCCCCGGGCCCAGCGCCACGGCTCAGAGTCGCGAGCGGGCAGTGGGCGGCGGAAGCCCTGACATGGCGGGGAGAGGCCGTGCCTGTGGCATCGCAGGATGACATGGCCCTGCCTGAGCCCGGGCCGGCCTCGGGCCTCCCACCAGGGCCTCCTGGCCAGGCCCGACCGCGCCGGACGCGGTGTCCGGGGCAGGGCTGGGGCCGGGGCCTCTGGAGCCTGGGCCAAGGGCCCCTCCGAGACCCCCTTTTTGTGATGTTTTGCACTTTCCGTATGGGGGCGAGGGCCGCAGGGGCCAGCACCCCTGAACTTCTGACGCTCTTTGTGGGGGGAGGCCTGATGTTTCTGCTTTCTGCCGAGACCACCCCACCCTGACACCAGCACCCCCATCCCGGGGCCCGGCTCGGAGGCCAAGGCTTGGGGCTGAGCTGGTGTCCCGTCTCCTCCCAAGGGCTCCCCCTCTTCCCAGAGTGGAGGAAGGGCTTCCCACCGGCCCGCCTTTCCCCTTCTGCGCCCTGCCCTTGTACAGGCTCCACCCCATTAAACTGCTCTGGACTCGCGGGCTGGCCTCTTCTCTGGGCGCCTGGCTCTAGGCGGGCATGGGTGGTCATGTGTGTGGACGAGAGTCCCGGTGGGGCAGCTGGAAGCAGGAGGGGCCCTCCCCTTCCCGTGACAATCTTTATTAAATAAGACTTGACGAGGAGGGACTGCTGTACAGGGTCTGAAGGGGCTGGGTGGCTACTCAGTGCACCTGCGGCTGGGGGTGGCCATGACACAGCCCTCCCGGAGGCTCGGGGGACGGGCCCAGCTTCTCTGCCTCCTGTTCCACGGACTGGCTCCCATAGGCGCTGTCTTCTTTCGCCTCTGGGGGGAACACAGGGCAAGGAGCACGGTCATGGAGCCCTTGGGCCTCCCGCCTCTGGGCCCGGACCCTGCACCCCGGGCGGCCCCTCACCTGTGCTGGGCAGCTTCTCTCGGGGCTCGGGCGCCCTCAGCAGCCTCACTCCCTCCTCCAGGCCCATGGCGGCCAGG